CCTCTACCTTGAACTTCAAAGTTCTTTATCCTACTTCCTGTTCAGTATCTCCACTGGATACTTAAATGTGACATATCCAAAACTGATTGATTTCCACAGTTGTCCCCTCAAAGTTTTTTCTTCCCTAGGTTATTGAGTCAAATCTTTCAATCAGTTGCTCCAGCAAAAAACAAAAAGCAACCTCCTCTTCTTATCCTGTATCTCTTCAAATACTTCAAATCCATCAAAAACTCCTATAAGGTTTATCTTCAAAATAAGTTTCAAAGCCAATCACTTCTCATCACTTCCATCTCCACCAAATCATCATCCTTTCTCACCTGGACAACTTAACAGCTTTCTAATAGGTCTTCCTGCTTTCATACTTCTTGCCCTACAAGCCATTTCCCACAAAGTAACCCAAGAGATCTCTTATGAAATTAAATCATGTCTTTCATCTTCTCAGAGCTTTCCAGTGGTTTCCAATCTCAGAACATACTTCAAGGTCCCTACCGCAGTCTATGAAGCTCCAAATGATCTAGCCTGCCATTTCTTCATCTCTAGCCACCCTTCCTTGCTCACTGTTCTCAGCTAACACTGACCACTTTGCTGTTCCTCAAAAATATTTAATTCTTGATACCACAGGTCCTTTGCACTTGCTATTCCTTCTGCCAGGGTGGCTTATTCCCCTATATTTGCATGGCTTGGTTTCTTTTGCCATTCAGATCTTTGTTTAAATATCTCCTCTCCTGACCACCTTATCAAATATTTTCTCCCGATGCTCTTTTATTCCCTCACCACATCACTCTGCTTACATTGTGGTCTAGATTCCTTTGGAATTCTAGGTGTGCTTTAAGTGTTTAGGAATCAATGTCAAAGCAGGATTTCAGTATTTCTGTTTGACATTTGCATTATTATTATTCTTCTCATGGGTAAAAAGAAATGGTTGGCAGGACATTGAAGGAATATGCTGACAGACACACTTCAACTCTGTTTTCAGGCGACCTAAATTACTGTCACCCAACCCATGATTCCCTAGAATACTGTTGTAGAAAAAGTTCCCAAGTTCATCAGCTGAAACCTGGCTTAGATATTGCTACATCCTATGGAGATCAAGCAGCACAACATTTCTTGTGGGAGCTGCAAGAATCCATCAATCTACTTCAATCTGAACAATCATGAAGCACAAAGCATCACTTTTACCCTGTGCAAGAACACGGATGTCTAAAGCCTAGTCTGTACCCATCTCATCCCACTCCAGAAGCTCACCACGATGTAATTATGATGTACTGTGATCTCCAAGAAGTGACATACCAAGTGCAAATAACAAGATATATCCATAGAAAGGAGTGAGCAAGTAGTAACAGCTAGTATTCATTAAGCTCATTAAGCAATCAGAGTATGCCAGACCTAAATTTTAGTTATTTTTACTTTCAAAGCCCCCTTGAAAATACTCATAACTATTATCTCCATTGTGCAGATAGAAAATAACACTAGAAGTCACACAACTAGCAGTAAAAGACCTGAGTCTGTTTCTAGGCAAATTCTGAGTTCTCTACCGTAGACCTGCACTGATGAGCTAAATGCAACATCACCCCCTGGAGTTCTGACCTCTGAGCCCTCAGGGTCTACCTCAGTCACTGTAGAGCTGGGAAGAGGAAAGAAGCAGGATGCATTCTATTCATAAACATTTAATTAGTGCCAGAATTATACCAGGAAATGGGTAAAGATGGACAACTCACAGCCACATTTCTCATAAAATGCATTGTCAAGTTGGGGAAATAAATATTAAAGATTGAGTTGCAGGGCTAGATCATCCAGGTGAAATTCTGGCTCTTGTGTCCATTTACAGAATGACTTGGGTTATTCAAGTCACCTCTGGATGCCTCACTCTTTCCTAAAAGGGGATGGTAATCATTTAATATGTGTTAGCATCGTTAATATATTTTAATGTATTCATTTAAATAATGTAAACATTTAATCAATACATGTTTATTTAATATCTCTAATGGGCCAGGCTCTGATTTTGGTGCTAGGGATAGAACAGCGTCCAAACAAAAGAAATGCCCATGTCCATGGAGTTTGTATTCTTTTTTTTTTTTTAAAGATTTATTTATTTATTTATTTATATAAGCACTGGGTACATTCAGAAGCGCCGGAGGGTGAGAGAATTCACCAGAGCCAGAGCAGGGAGCAGAACAGGCAGAAGGACCGAAGTACACTGCTGAGGGGAGCAGCGGGTGGCAGGAGAGGTCTGCATGCCATGTGGAACCCTCGCCAGTGGCCGGGGATCGAACCGGCATTGCAGAGGCTGTGGGCAGCTTCACAATCCAGCACTCAACCGCTGCACCACCGGGGAGGCCCGGAGTTTGTATTCTTGACGGAGGAAACAGAAAATGAATAAATAAATATGTGATCCAATGTCAGATAGTGCTAAGAACCATGAGGAAATACAAAACAGACAGAGGGACTAGAGAGTGACAGGGACCAAGGGAATAATAGAAGAGAAGAAATAGGTCAGGGAAGCCTCTCTGAGGAGATATCATTTGAATAGAGACATCTGGGAGGAAAAGGAGCCAGACATGCAAATATATGGGAGGAGAGCATTCCTCTAAGCACTTGGAGAGCAGAGAATAGCCCTGGTACAGAAGTGTGCTATTAGTGTTTAAAGAACAGCAAGGAGGCTGGAGCACAGGCACCGAGAAGAAAGATAGCCAGGGGCTATTCATTCATGTATGGCCAGGTTGGACCGTGAGGGCTGAGTGATGTGGTGCGCAGTTAATTTTATGTGTCAACTTGGAAAGTGTATTCAGATGAAATTAACATCTAAATTGGTGAACCACGAAAAAGAGACTGTCATCCATAATGTGGGTGGGTCTTATCTAATAAGCTAAAGACCTAATAGAACAGGGAGAGCAGACTCCCTGAGCAAGATGGAACTCTCCTGCAGGCTGCTTTCAGACTTCATCTGCGCTACTGGCTCCTCCAGGTCTCCAAGCTCCTGGCCTCCTAACTGGAACTACACCATCAGCTCTCCTGGCTCCCCAGGCTGAAGCCCACATTGCAGATTGTGGACTTGCCAGATTCATAATCATGTGAGCTAATTCCTTATAATAAATCTCCTTCTATATATGGACACATCCTATTGTTTCTTTTTTATAGAGAACCCTGACAAATGCACATAATATACTAATACACACGTCTCATTACAAAAGTTCTGAGAAGTAACACGTGATCCATGTTTTATGGGGATCACTCCAGCCCAGTGTGGAAGGCACATTGCAGGGAGGCAAAGATGGAGGCCAGGCGAGCAGGGCAAAGGTGGGCTCAGCAATCAAGATGAGAAATGACAGTGGTCTGCACTAGAGTGGGAGAGGTGGAAGTGGTGGCAAGTGGTCACATTTGGAATTTATTTTGAGGGTAGTGCTGACAGAATTTGCTGATGGATTAATTATAATCATTGTAGAAATAAACTATGACAGAATGTGGCATGAGCCATAATTAAGGGACACATAAGGTCTTGTAGGATCAAAGATTAAGGAGAAATCAGTTCCTCCAGGAAGGTGAGGGTTCCCAGTTAGAAGAGTACTGAGATACGATCAAGTGACTTTGGGTTTGAAGAACAAGTCACATCCTCCTTTTCCTCCCAGATGTCTGAATTCAAATGATATGTCCTCGGAGAGGCTTGAGTACTGAGATATGATCAAGTGTCTTTGGGTTTGAAGGCGAAGGGGTTAGGGGTAGTCCATACTGAGAGGCAACACAGAAGCCAGTGTGCAAGACCATAAAGGGCACATCTACAGAAGGTCTTAGGAGCCCATAGAGGCCTGAGGAGAAGATGTAAGGGAGAAAATACCTGGAGAGGAATTTGAAAAGACTGGATAGTAGGCAGTGGGGTCGTCAGGCACTTTATCCTGTCTTATCAGACAGTGGTACAGAGATGATGCATTGAAGGGGCTGATAATGGACTTTGGGGTCTCCCAGGCCAACAGAACAGCCGGAACAGGTAATTCCAATGCCAGCTGAAATTTGTAAGTGACCTGAAAAGCTCACACTTTCTAGGCCCTAGAAGACAGACCAGCAATTGCAGAAATCAAATCCCATGGATGCAGACTTATATTTATCACCTAATGCCAGAGAAAATGTTTCAATCTAAGATGAGAAAGGCAGTTTGGCTAGTCATTTCTGCAACTTAAATTTTCCCTCCTCACCTGGTAACACATTTTTTTTAATAATCTGGCAGTGATCTTTGCCTATTAAGCATCTCTGGCCACAGAGAAGGGATATTGATTAATTTCACTTTTACCACTAGAGGTATTTATTCCTATGTGCCCTCTTGCCTCTTTATCCCACTTTGTAAACTATGCTGCTGGTAGATCCTGGAGCTGATGAGTCATGGTTCTGGGATATCTGGAGGAAGGGGACATTCATCATGAATTAATCCTGGGGAGGGAACAAGAATTTTCCTTACATGGCTAGATAAAGCTGAAGAGGACCCAAAATCAGTGCCTAAAGAATCCCAACCAGTAATCTCTTTCCTTTAAGGCCCTACTATGTGCCAAGTGCTGTGCTCTGAGCTGAAGATATGAAGATAGAGGCAGACAGGTCCTTTCAGGGGGTAGTAGACATGCCAATAAAACACACAATTACAACAGAGGATTGGCACTGCTTTAATGGATGTGTGAACACAGTCAGGGTCAGTGAGAGCACCAAAGAAAGGACTCTCAGATTGTCTCAGGGAGGTCAAGGAAGAATTCATCAGGAGGTGACTTGCAGCTGGGATGTGTGGGATGCAGCCACAAGGCAGACAGGGGAAGGGCATTCTATACAGAGGAAACAGCACCAGAGCAAAGCAGGCTTCTAATGCAGTCTAAGAGGAAAATTCCAGCAGTCTCTCTGCTCAGTACAACTTTACCAAGGACAAAAGTTCAGCAACTCATTTCACATTGGCTACTCTGAAAAAGATATCAAGCAAGACATTGACTTTGAAAAGAAATACACGACAAGCACTTTGTAGCGCCAGTTTTAATCAAAGTGTCTCCTTAACTGTCTTTATTTCTCCAAGTGCTGTGTTTGGCTCCAACCCCTCTTCCATGATGCTTTTCACAGGGATGACTTCAACGGCACCAGCAGGGTGGGGCAGGTCTAGGAGACTTCTTGGCTTCTCACTTGATGGATAGCCAGAGCAGAAGAGATGGTGTAAGAGGAAAGGACAGTGTAATGACAAATAGAAAGATGGGCCAAGAGGATGGATAATCTAGCTTCACTTGAGAGCTGGGGACAGGTCCCACCAACAACTGCCTCAGAGGTGACTACCGAGCCAGCCATGGGACCTAAAGCCAGTATGATGTGATCACTAGCAGCAAAGGGACCACTTTATCGGCTCATGCTCAGGGGTCCTCAAAGTTGAGACAAAGGGTGGAGGAGGTTGCCCTCAGGGAGACATCTGCTATTGCTGTGGCCTTTTCTACCCAGACACAGCAGGTTTCTAGCCTACAAGCTTCTCGAAGGCCTAAAGAAATATCTTAGTGGGGCCTCCCTGGTGGCGTAAGGGGTTGTCTTAGCACTATGAAGCTATCTGTAGCCACTGAAGCATGAGTTAAATCCCTGGCCAGGGAGGTGACCCACATGTGCAGCAGACCTCTCCTGTCTCACCTGCTGCTCCCCTCAGCAATATATTTCAGTACATCCACCTGTTCTGCTCCCCACTCTGGTAAAATCTTCTCAGCCTCCACCCCTCTGACCCATATCCCAGCTCTTGTATGCATAAATAAATCTTTTTTTAAAAAGTAATGTCTTAGACCTAAAAACCAAAGAATAAAGGAAAGGGCTTTAAATAAAAAAAAAAAAAAAAAAAAAAAACGCAAAATTGAAAATTTCAAGTGCTTAATTGAATGTCTAAAAGATGTAATATTTTATCAACTTCATTATTGCCCAATTTAGTATTCATCAGAAAAAGTGATTAGAAAATTATTGCAAATGGTCTCATCCCATGAGTCTTCTTGAATATGGATATAGTTTCAAAAATCACTCAGATAATTTTAAAACCAAAATTAGAAAATAACTTTAAATTTTACAGCAAAAAAATTTACTGAGGAATATGAAGGTATTTAATATCACATCACAAGCTTAGGATGCTTGATAAAGTCTCAGATAAACCTTTAAATGTAAGAAGGCTGAAGGCTCACAAAGTACTTCTAAGAGCCCTGGCTATCTTCCAGAATCTTTGCTAATCATTTACTGGGGCTTCTTGACCAGAATCTTTCACCAAGACAACAAAAGCTATCTTGAACCACTTTTGAGTGATTCAGAACAGTCTCTGGTAATAAATAGTGCTCACTGCAGCTATGTTTGATTACACTGTCAACACAAGCTCAGATTCTTGGAATGTTTTCTGGGATCTCCAGTAAGTACAGAACACCTTTCCAAGATGTCATTTTCCTGAGGGTGGGATTTACTTGACAAGTAACTTGACAAATGTCTATCACAGTGCTTAGCACAGAGTTAGTACTTAGTATTTATTTCATGGACAAAAGCTCCCTCTGATTTCACAGAACTTGATAGATCCCCACCCCACAGGCCCTGTGTATCATACTGCATTTCCTTTCGCGGGATTGTCTCCTCCACCTAACTGAACTGCAAGAAGGTAGGAACCATACTTCATTTACCTGTGGACATCTAGTACCTAACAGGGCACGGATCAGGTGTTCAGAAAGTGTTTGTTGAGTGAATAAAAGGATAGACAGATAATAAGTCTGATAGATTAAAACAAGGTCTCCTCCTAATGGGTCACCTCATGCTAATCCAAGTTCTAATAATTCTGAATGGTTACTACATGCTAAATGCTACTCATGCTGTGCTGTTTATCTGTCACATGTCTATAAAGTAGGTATGACAATGAAACTGAGTTACACGGAGATTTGGTAAGGTACCCAAGGTCACACACCTAAGAAGTAGTGAAGATGGTATTTGAGCCAATATTTGAAATGACCTCCTCCCTAAACATAAGCTATCTTTTCTGTTGTATACTATTTATTGTTTTGCTCTTTGCAAGAGACTTGAGGTCATGGAGTGATAAAGTGAATCAGAATTTCCACCCTAACTAATATACACTGAATAGTTCCCCAGACCAACCCCACCCTAGTGATTTTCCAGGCCCTAGTGATTTTCCCTCACTGTGCTCCAGTTCTGTCTTAACATCAACTAGTATCTCGCTCACCTTTTGCACTGCCCCTTCACTTTAGAAACGAAATCCAGTAATTCACTAGTTATTCAAGATAACTAGTGAATCCTTCTTACCCAAAAGGTGTTAATAATTTCAGACTCAAAGACAACAGTTCTGGATTTCCTCTCCATATCCTTCCATAGAAGGCAACTGCTCACAACTGTTCAGTGAGCACAGAAGGGGTGAAAAGAAAGCAGTCTCAGCTGACACGAGTCCGCGCTGAGGCCCTCTGAGATCATTCTGGGCCCCATGCTGCAAACAAGAAGGCTCTGACTAATAAGCAGGAGGATACAATTCTGGACTTTACCAGAGTCAAATCTCCTATCTTCCCTGGATTGTCCCCACAGCCTCCTCTCCAACTAAATTCCAGATCTCACCTCTACTATTTTGCATCCCTGGGGTAGTGCCTTTCTTAACCTAGCCATGACTTTATATCTTGCAGCAAATAATGAATTACCTCAGTAACTGCAGCCTTAACCAGTGTAACTGCCAAAAAGCTGTTATTCTTCCATCTGCAAATCCAGCTAACCATTTGCCTCAGTTAATAGCAAGCAGGTTAGGTTCCTTCATAGGTTAATTATACATTGTGTGGAGAGCATTTCCTTTCATCAGTTCTAAATTTGCTCCCTTTTAATTTTGTCAAGTGCTGCCTCTTTCTCCGATTAGAGGAAAGGGCAGGAGGGAGCCTGCAATTGGCTTGCTACACCCCATTCATTACACTCAACACCTCGGAGTGTGCTCACCCCTTTCCTCTGCTCCTTTCAAAACGAAAGATTTCCTCTTTCTTGGTGTGGAAGTCTCCCCTTCCCCCAGATCCATCTGCTTTGCCCTTCCAGGGACCTTTTCTATTTCTGCTGTGTCCTATCTGAGCTTAGGGGAGCCTCAAAGAGAATGAGGCAGTCGGAGTGAGGAGAGAACACAGATTTACCACATGGAGTAGTAATTCTTCCCCTACTGTGCTCCAGTTCTGTCTAATACCAAGTCATATCTCGCTCACCTTTTGCATTGCCCCTTCACTTAAGAAACGAAATCCAGTAGTGCATCCAAGATAACTAGTGAATCCTTCTTACCCAAAAGTTGTTAATAATTTCAGACTCAAAGACAGCAGTTCTGGTTTTCCTCTCCAGCAACATCCAGGCCCTTGGTTACTTTGTTCTTTGTCCCGATGGTCCTGGGCCACACAATGACATTTCAGTCAACTACACACCACATCACCGTCAGTGCTCTTTCTACACAGTCTAGGTGTGTAGGTGGCTATACCTTGAAGGTCTGAGAAATTGCACACCATGATGGGTGCATAATGATGAAGTGCCTAACAACACGGTTCTCAGAAGACATTGTTAGGTAACATGAGACTGGACATAATGTCATCTTCCCAAGAACACAGGAAGAAGTTTGTTCCTTCATGTGAAACAGCATGCTACCTTCAACCCCAGGGGTATTGCACCTTGTAGGCACCTGCAAACCTGGCATCTGTGAACCTGGTGTGGAATCCTATAGCTTGATCTGGAAGTGGCATTCAAGGTCACCAAGTAAGCTTCTCTCCATTCAGGTGAGCAAGCCCAGAAAGGTTAGGAGAAGTTGTCCCAACTCTCACATTCTCCATCTAATCAAATAGCTACCAGTTTGTGAGAACTTGCCAGGCATTTGAATCATTACTTCTTGTTATCTTGAGTCATCCTCAACACAATTCTTTGAGAATACTTATTATCATCCTTATTTTTTGTCAGGTTATAAACTTTGCCCAAGGTCCCATAGTCAATTGTGGAGCCAGGAGCCAAACCTAGACGGTATAACATCAGATTGAAGTCTTGCCCCATCCTGGTCCTGCCTCCACAGGGCTCAGCCCAGGGATCTGGGAGCCACTGGAACCTTCTTTAAAGCCAAGCTGGGAGCTTCCCTTTTACTGTGGGATACACCATGACTCAATGTTGTATGCCATTGAGTCCCTTTTACTGTAGGATATTCCACCATCACTCAATCTATCGATGGCGTTTGGCTGTGCCTAAACCCCACATTAACATCTAAACCCCAGCTTATACTCATGCAGAGATTTTCAGGATTCTTAAATGATGGCAAAAGGTCTGAGATTCAAAACTATGGATTCCAAAGCCCACCTGAACCCAACTCACAATGCCATCCCCCAAATGAGATACCAGAACCCAGAGCAGGGAATGTCTGAAGTGGATGCTCACCAGGCCTGTTCCTAAAAGGAGCTGCCACTAGATGGATTGAGACCCCTGAGGGCACCACACTGATGCACGCCCATGGATGATAGGAATGTAGATACCTTGCAGTGAGCACTCACTGCACACCAGACACCCAGCTGAGTGCTTCACAAACATTTCCTCATTTTACACCCACAAATGTCCTCTGACCTAATACTACCACTTTCTTTAACAGAGACGATTAACACAGAGAAAGGTTAATTAACGTGCCCAAGGTTGCACAGCCAGGTGGGAATTTAAAAATGAGCTTCCTGATTCCAATAGAGCAAAAGAGGGAAAGTCTCAATGATACCTAAAGAAATACACACAGATCCTGTGGAGGTCAATGGTTCATGAACACAGGTTCCCAACACTCCTACACAGAACCCACATATGGGTTTTCTCTTGCCAAACCCAGGCCAGCCATGTGATGGGAATCTGAGAGCAGAAAGAGGGGCCTCTGTCCTTCCCCCATAGCTCTAGCCTGCCTAATGCTGCGGCTGTTTATTACTGACTCCTCCTGAACTAATGGGAGTTGAAATTTCCATTAATTAAGAATATAAATAAATAAATGGGTAGCAAAGAAAGCGAGATGGTGGCATGGTGCCCAGAGTCTCTGCTGAAAGCAGCCAGTTCACGCTTCATTAGCATCTTTGCTCCCTCTCCAAACCTGCTAGCACAGCCTTTCTTCTGAGACACACTCAGGGAACTCCAGTGCAGAGGGGATGCTTTGGCT